GTTTTATGATTTGCGTGCCAAGTCATGTGTTCAGCTGTGGCTTTAGACGCATAAAGCCTTTGCAATCTAGGGATTAAGGGCAGATAAAACATTTGCTTGCATGGTTTACGCTTCTGATTACGACCCTGCCTCCTGTTAATCTTGTACCTAGGTTGGCTACAGAATTTGCAAGATTCTGCATTTTCATCATCTCTCCAATATAACATACAACCCCTACTACATACATCAATCCTTACAACCGGAAGACCTAAGTTATCCACTAGCTTTTTCATATCGTAACAATCACTTGGCATGCTGTTATCACGAGGCATTGTTTCCCGCATTACTTTAACAAAAGAGTTGAAGCAATCTTGCGACACATTATGCTCTGCCTTGATATTTAACAGTCTTGCTGTCACAGATAACTTAGTGTGGTTGTTACAACCTAGCCATAAAGGTTCATCTGCTGCTTTCAACACTTCCCAGAATTGATTATATGAAAAAGCTCCATTACACACATTCTCATCAAAACCCGTTACTCCCATGTCTTCCAATTGTTATGCATGACTAGTACCCACTTATTCATGTGTAGGAGTAAAACTAGTACTTGCATGGTTCGAATATGAAACAAAATTCTGACCAGCTGCATCAATCACCATCCTCTCGTATGGGTTCAATTGGTCATAATAGCTACATTCTTCCCCTCCTAAAAATTGGTCACTTCTTCGATATCCTTCATCAGATATAAATGGTTCACCATGGCAAGTCCAATTATAATAATTCGGAGTAAATCCAAATCTACAAAGATGTTCTCTAACTGTATCACACACATGAAATTTACCATTACTGCACTTTCTACACGGACACCTTAACTTATTTCCATCCATGAACTCATATTTACTACTAGCAAAGTCTAAAAATAGTTCCAACCCAGTCCGAAACTCATTGGTCAATCCTTGACGTCCAGGTAAGTTCTTATTATACATCTAAGCCCTGTTTCTTTGCATTGTGTCTGTATTAAAATAAAAAATATCGTAAAATATTTAAAATATCATATCTACCGTTGTTCATTAAAAAAAAATTTATGAAAATTAAAATTTTGTTTTTCACGCAACAATTACTACGAAATTTTAAAAAATGCAAATATAACCATGTAAAGAAGACTTACCCAGATATTTGACTGAAATCTTGGTAGCAGAAAGTGGTCAATTTGAAGAGAATTGTAAAGTTCACTTGGATTGCGAGACCTTCAATTGGACACGTACCTAAATAAAAGCAAAATCACTTAACATTCATTTTTTAAAATTTTTTTATTTTTTCCGAATTTTTTTTAAAAAAAATTTCTTATAATTTTCTCCGGCTGACGCCGGCAAGGCCGCTCGGCCTCGCCATGGCAGCCGGCCCGGCTGATCTGGGCGAGGCCGAGCGGGGTCGCCATGGCCGCGGGTCGACCTCGCCGTCGCCCAACCGGGCGACGGCGAGGTCGACCCGCGGCCCGACGAGGCCGCAGGTCGACCTCGCCGTCGCCCGTCGGGCGACGGCGAGGTCGACCCGCGGCCATGGCCACCCCGTGCGGCCTCGCCGGCCATGGGTCGATGCCGGTCGGCCTCGCCCAGATCTAGGGGAGGCCGCCACGGCGGCGAGGTCGACCGGCACCTCGCCCTTTCGTCCGTCGCAAATTTGCGATGAACGGTCTTTGTCCGTCGCAAATTTGCGACGGACCAATACCATCCATTGCAAATCGGTGGCCGGTCGCCGACCGGCGACCAATTTACAACAAAACAGAAAATAATGTCAATAAAAAAAAAATTTCGCATCTGACGATGAATCAGAAGGACAGGACCATATTAGTTGCATGTTTAAACGGACTTAATTAGCTACGATACTTACCTGTGGAAAAGCTTCACCGAGATTGATTTCTGTGCGCACGGATTATTGAGAGAAATGATAGAAGGAGAAGGTGAGAGAAAAGCGGGCGACCTGACGAATCACTATTGAAAGAGAGAGAGAGAGAAATTGACGAGTGGGGTGGGGTGCATATCACAAAATTAATTTTCCGGTACAAATTTGCGACGAATCCAATTTCGTCGCAAAATTCGTCGCAATTTGCGACGGATAAAATATTCGTTGCGACGGAAAATCAATCCGTCGCAAATTTGCAACGGAAAATTAGTCGTCGCAAATTAGCGACGGAACTGGCGACGACCAACTTTTCGTCGCAAATTTGCGACGAATTTTGCTACGGATTTATAAATCCGTCGCAAAGTTTGTCGCAAATTTGCAACGAAAGTAATCCATCGCAAATTTCCGTCGCAAAAAACATGTTTTTTTGTAGTGCAAATACATTGTCGATTGCATAGGCTACATACTTATGGTATGCTTCAAGTTCATTTGAAAAAACCATTCCTACTGAAAACTCGTAATCTTTTTCCATATCACGCATTGCATGTGTAAGATGGGAAGTTTCATGCTACAACTAAAAGAACAAAAAATAATCAATGTAGTGCTTTTTTACAAGAAAAATAACATCTCATCCGTTACTTAATAAAGCAAAATATATTTCACATAGTTTGAGTGAAGAATTACCTCTGATTCATCCATATGATAAATTTGCACCCAAATTGATACTAAATTGGGATTAAAATGGCGCCATAACAGTCCCGTCTAGCAAGCTTCAAAGATAATTCCAGTAAGTTTAAGTTCAGTAATGACCCTATTTGACAAGAAATAGATGTATATCAATTATTATGGATGTCCATACTCATGTATATGGTCACAAAACTATAATGGTTCACATTCTTCGTGTCAATCTCACTCTATAAACTAGAGAATAAGCATACAGTAAACAATAGACATCCTCCAGGCATCACGCATCAGCAATGTAGGCACTAAAAGTTTATACCACAATGTAGTTCATATTAACCCTTCAAAAATTACACTAAATATGGAGCAAATGTGTACCTCTTGAGGCTTCGTTGGAGGTAGCAACGTGGTTCGTCAGACGGCGGAGATGGCGAGAACTGCAGAGCATTAAGGCAGAGGCAGAGGCGTCAGATAGGGTGGAGGCATCGGCGTCAGCTAGGGCGGAGGCGTCGAGAAGGTGCAGAGTGAGTTGAGGTGGAGCGCATTGGCTAAGGTGTCGGCTAGGGCGAAGGCAGAGGCAAAGGCTGAGGCGTCGGCGTCGGTGTTGATGTCGGCTAGGACAGAGGCACGTTGAGAGGCACAGAGCGAGTCGAGGTGGGGGCGGAGGCATCAGCTAGGGCAGAGGCGGAGACAGCGAGAATGACAGAGCGAGTCGAGGCATCATCGTCGGCTAGGGCGATGGCGTCGGCTAGAGCGAAGGCATCGGCGTCGAGAGATACAAAGTGAGTCAAGGCGGAGGGGCGGAGGCTAAGGCGTTGGCTAGGGTGGAGGTAGAGGCGGAGGTGTTTGCTAGGGTGGAGGCATCGGCATCGGTGTCTGCTAGGGCGGAGGCATTGGCGTTGAGAGGTATAGAGCGAGTCAATGCGGAGGCGTCGGCATGGACCGTTGAAGGCCTGAGTCGGGAGGGAGAGTGAGTAGTGCGTGAGTACAGATCTAGAAGTGAAAGCGAGAGGAGGGAGAGTCTTGCTTTTTTGAAAAATTTCTCCGTTCTCTTGTCTAACGCGGTGAGGCTCGGGAGACACGTGTCGCTTGGTGAGGGACTCAGATTTTGCCAGCGTGGAATCACAACTCTATGCAATATTTTCTCCTTCTCCTAGAGAAGAGAAAAGAGACATGAATCAAAGGAAGATGAATTCCAAAGGCTAACACAGATTTGGAGAAACCTACAGGCAAAATATTCAATGCTTAATTAGACTTGTCAAAATGGGTCATAAACCCATTATTTAACCCATATATTAGTAGATGGATCATAAATGGGTTAGTTATATTTAGTAAATGGGTTATAAATTGGTAGAAATTTAATATTAGTGTTAAATGTGTCATAAATGGGTTGTAAATGGGTCATAAATGAATTTACAACTGATTTAAACTCAACTCGTCTCTCTCGCCCTTACTCAATCTTGCGGTTACTCACTTCGCACTCTCATCTCAGTTTGGTTACTCACTTAGCAATATGAGTCTGATCGGGTATGAGTCGGGTATGGGTCAAGAAAATTGCATTACTCATAAATGGGTCATAAACGGGTTAATGGGTCAATTTGGGTCGGACCATTTATGACCCAACCCAAACCCGACCCGACCCACCCATTTGACTGGTCTATGCTCAATTCATCCAATCTTAGTTGACCAGTGAAAATATTAGGTAAGCCAGTCTTGCCACGTATATAGAAATCGACAGAAAGACACTTTATTCAATGCTCCCACGATTCCAAGTGGGCCCCACTAATTAGTCTCTTTTGTCTTCTTCATCATTTCTTCTTCTTCTTCTTCTTCTTCTTTTTTTTCCTTTTTTTTCCCCTTTGGCCTATGGCTTGTACTCGGCCAAAACCGGCAACTAGTCATTCTTTTTTTCCTTTCTTTTTTTTTCCTTTTTTTTTTCCCATTGGCCTATGGCTTGTACTCGGCCAAAACCGGCAACTAGTCACAGGCGAGGATAGCTCTTGTCAAATCTAGCGAGAGCTCGACCCTCATGGACTAGGCAAGGTAAAGGGCGACGGCAAAAAATCAATGAGTGGACTGATGACGAAAGAGGAGTAGGAGCCGTCGGTGAAGAATTGATCGAACAGCCAAGTGGTATTGAAGGCATTAGCCGTAGTCGATGTGGAAGGATACAGCTGCGCGAAGAAGCGGGTAGGAGGAAGAGGCAAGAGGGAGAGAGAGATGGAAAGACAATCTAAAACGTGAGCCCCATTCGGACACATGACGATTATGAGTGAAGTGTCCTCCTGCTCACATGCCAAGACTGACCTACCTACTATCCATATTAACAAAATCCAGAATCGGTATGACGCAAGTACGGTAATCATTTTGAACATAAAAAAGGTTATACAATTAAAATAAAAAAAAAGAAGATCGATACACCGACAAAAATCAACAAATGAAGACAAAAGCTACGTCATGAAAGCAAAATCAAGTAGGACATCAATTTGCACGGCAATAAATAGAAGGAACCAGACAAAAGAATCTGTCGGCAACCGTTTTCTCCGGCAAAGGCAATGTACACACCCAGCATCATCTCTAGTACAAGCAGAACCCGCTAATATCTGTGTAATCCTTCATGGATTCATTTATTGGCAAGAAGCATCTGGCAATGCTTAACACTCGCATCCTGTTGACCTCGGCTGACTGCTGTTCACAACGTCGATGGTGTCTGGCAAGTATCTGCATTTTGCAGAGTATTCGAAGAGCAATACAAACAAGACTATGTTAGCATTATCATTGGTACTCAACTGATCCAGACACATCGAAAATAACCCACATCCATGGCTTCATCCATTTGATATCTAGCCATCTTGCATAAACAAATAAAAGAAAACCATCCATGTGATAAGGCGCAAAAAATTTATGAGAAATCTCTTAGAACTAGACAGCAAATGAAACAGTACACTATAGAGATAGATTTTAGTGTACCAGATCTATTTGTGCAGGTGTAACTGGGACAATCAAGGAAGCCCGACACATTTATCAACAGGCTCAGAATTATGGACAAAAATTATAAGTTTGAGTTACAGCTCAGCTACTGAAAGATGCACATTTATAGATGAAATGCCAACTATAACATAATAGTGGAGCAACTAGGTGTCATGGCTAGACAAGAATATAATCTGCCCTAAGGCCAACCAGGATAATATAAATCATATTCTGGTTCAAAAGAGAACTAACAAAATGAGGATAATGTATCAAAGGATCCACTGGCAGACACACAGTTCATGAGATTCTGAATATGCTAGTCAACAGGAGCAAGGTTCATATAGGAACTTACATCTCTTCTTCTTCACCACTTTTCAAGGCATTCTTAGCTATGCACTGAAAAGCTTCCTCCACATTGACACCTTCCTTGGCAGAGGTCTCAAAATATGGTATATTCCCCTTTGAGGCACACCAAGCTCGAGCTTTTTTCTCTGATACCTGAAATCACACATCAGAATGCTTACGTCAACCCAACTTCCATATACAGCTACTTGAGAAAAGAGGGCTCTAAAGAGAGAAGGAAAACAAGCAAATTTAGAAAGTACCACTCTGTTGTTTCCCCCATCCACATCAATTTTGTTTCCTATGACTATGAATGGGAAATTCTCTGGATCTGATGGACTTGCCTGCACAAGGTTTGAAGCTCATTTCAATTTCAAGGTTGTCAGGTCTGCAGACGATTGTTAGGGAAGTGAAAGAGAAGCAAATCACACTCAGATTTTAGCTTCAAGAAAAACCTGGATAAGGAACTCCTCCCTCCAATTGTTAAGATTGTCAAATGACTTCATAACGTTAACATCATACACAAGAACACAGCAGTCAGCACCTCGATAGAAAGCCACCCCAAGACTTTGGAATCTTTCTTGACCAGCTGTATCCCAAATCTTCTCAGACAAAAGAAGAAATACATGACACCAATCAGTAAATGTGAAAAATTGGCAGGAAAAATAGATAATCACAGTGTTGAACAAAAAATCAACTGATTATGTAAAAAATAATCGGTTGCGATACCAAGCATTGCTGATTGGCAGAAGCCACAATGCAGACCTGTTCTAGTGCTCAACAATCAAACAAAAATTGTATTCTCTCTCAATCCCTGTGATATGAATCTGCAATTTTGCTGTCATCTCTAACCACAAAAATGGAAATGAAAGACAAAGGAACAAACACACAACAAGTTCATGTTTGTACCTGCATTTGTGCATATAAATAGCACCACAGGACTATTTGCAGCAGCAACCATATGCACATATTCTCATGTACCATTGGCCTATTCATCTCATTGTAGTTGTGGCTAGTCTCTGAGTGACATAAGGTGGGTTAACACTGTTAAAGAGAACTCTGAAGCATCGGCAATAGCACCTCGAGCCCTGGAATTCAGAACATGTTCCTAAATAGGACACACATGCTTGTCTTACAGGCTTACGGTGCTCTCGCCTTTTCTGCTGAGCCACACCACAACAGGTCTGGAAATGGGACAGCACTTACTACTAAGACACTCAGCAGCATTCTAGTAATATATGATATTTCTCACCAACAAATTCTACCCACACAGGTGCTTGTGCAAAGTCTACAAACTAACTCTGCAGACAGCACTACATGAAAATAACTCAATAAGAGGCTCCGACATGTCTTTTGCCAACAAAGAGTTTCAAGTTTATGGTTCCATCCTCACTATTTGCGCACTTGTTTCCCCGAGGTTTATCCTGAAGCAACAGAAAATTGCCCTAATTGCCCTACATTCCGTCATAAACCCTTGATTTAGATAGATAGCTTCACAGTAAAAGCTAATCCTTGCAGCCTTGCTCAAAAGAAACCGAAGATAAGATCTCTTTGACTAACTTTGTGGCTGAAACTTGGGGATTCAATCTCTCCAATTAAACTTTTCCTCCACATTTTTTGAAAGAAAAGGACAAGAAGGCACACGTCCAGGGATGATACCTCTTGCTAACTAGATGTAGTGCATAGGAACATCAATTTTCTCAGGCACATATCCTCTCTCATGTGCAGGTTACTGAACATGAACTAGTCTATACAAAAGAAGAAAGTAAAACGCCTCAAGAAAATTTTTTATCCATAGTTTTACAATAATGGACGAACAGTGTTTGGCTGAAAATGACCCCCTCCCGCCCACAATTACCCCCCCACCCCGGTCTTCTCTTCTCTTCTCCCCAAATTTTCATGCATGCCATACTAACATGCGTAATTTAAAAGGCAACACTTAATCATCTGTCTTTGGTGAAAATCACAATAAACGATGCAAACATGACAAATAATGCGTGAAATTGTTTGTAATCAAAATGAAATTAAGCATGTTATAGTATTATAGCAGCTGTCTGTCACTGACCTGTAAGGTGAAGAGCCTATCTTCGAGCTGAACTTCCTTAGTCAAGAAATCAGCTCCAATAGTTGCTTTATACTGATTACTGAACTTCTTATTTACATATCTTAGAAGCAATAGATTAAGGCAAACATCCTCAAAAAGAAATGAGACCAGGATAGCCGGCTACCAGAAAGTAACTAACTATTCTTTCGATAAACAAAATAATCGCGATGAAGAAAATTAAAGAAAACCAATGTTTAGACACTAACAGAAGCGGGAGGAACAGGATACTGGTTCATCAACGAGGTCTTACCGACCCTGCAAATCACAGGAAAACCAAACTCAAAGTTGATTCCACACGAACCTCAACGCGTAATTGGCAAAAGAAAGACGAAAGCAAGCCGCTTGAATGGAGCAGAGCACATTCACCTAAGGAAATCAGGCTGATCTAAACTAACATAAGCATAGCTCCTTATCAAGAACGACACTTTTTCCACAGAGAAGCTGACCCCAACAGAACCAGAGAAGGGAACTGTTTCTCAATCCCTAAGCTAGAACGTTCATCCATAAAAGCTCCGGCAGAAGACAAACAGAGCTTTCCCCGACGCAATTCTCATCCCTCCCTGCACCCTGCCGACACCGGGACCATCTCAACACGCACCCACAATTCCCCCCACGATTGTCTAACCAAACCCAAGTCCATCTCACCTCGGAGTCCAAGATCCGTCTAGACAAACAATCAACAGCCCCGCCCTACATTCTCGAGACACGGGCAAGCACGGCATCTGGGTGTGCGCGCGCGTGTGCGCGTCCCCCACAACCGCAGACGAATCGCACGTCAGACGCATCGATCGCGCGAGCGAACACGACACGATCAGAATGCAGAGCAACCCAACAAGACACCCCAGATACAATCAAGAATGCAGAGCGCAACGGCGCACGAGACAGAAGCGAGCGAGCGAGGGAGGGAGGGACGGACTCACCCGCTGTCTCCGAGGATGATGACCTTGAGGAGCGTTCTCCTGCGGGACGGCATCGCACGGTCTCACAGTAGAGAGAGAGAGAGAGAGGGAGAGAGAGGGATGTGGGCTTCGCGGTCGGAGAGACACCACTTCGTACTTCTCGCAGCCTGCTTCGCGGCGGAGAGAGAGAGAGAGAGAGGGGCTCTGCAGTTTCTCTCGCTTGCTGCTGTTCCTCGGATCTTTCTACGAGCCGCACGTGAAATTTTTAGCGGAAGGTGGTCGGCGGTGGCATAAGAGTCGGGTGGTTTCAGGTTCTTTGTAGGTTTTATATGGAATTTAAAATTTACTTTTGGATACAGATTTCTTATTTTTTGGAACTTTGAATTTACCCGTTAAAACTTGAAACCTATCCTGTCACAGGTTCCATGATGGATTCTAGGGTCTAACAAGTTTTTTTTATTTCATTTTTAGTTAAATAAAACGAAAATAAACGCAACAATACTAAACATCGCCAAAGAGAATACAAAAAATTAGTTTTTCTGATATTACGATTCAAATAAATATAATTAAAAATTAGAACTCATTTGCCTGAATCGATACTACAGGTGAGCGGTTCCATGTTCCATATAGGTTCCACCCATGATAATAGGTTCCTCATTTTTTAGAATTTGAAATCTACTCTATTACAGGTTCGAGGGTCGAGTCCAAGGTCTACCCACGTTCCACATGTATTATTAATTGAACAATTGCAATGAATCATCATATTTAATGATCACCATTTGCTGCTATGATCCATTAACCATAACTTACACAAGAAGAATATAAAACATTAACAAGTCATAAAATGAAAATCCAAACTAGTGGTTCCATATTATATACTCATTATCTAATACCATGAAACGCTGTAGGATCATGCGAAGACATAGACCAAGAAAAAATACAAAAAACTTGTTTAGATTTCAGGTTCCAAGTTCCATCTATCTAGAATCTGGAACCTACCCGTCGAAACAGGTTTCCAAATTTTTGGAACTTGAAACCTACCATGCATACCTTGGAACCTGAAACTTAAAAGTTCCCACTAAGGATGTGCAAAAGAACCGGGAAGTGTCCGAACTGTCCAGGACCACCCGAAACTGGACAGGAACCGGTGGTTCCTAATTAAGGGAATCGATCCGGTTTCAGGTTCCAATTTTTGGGAACCGGTGGGTACCGGTCTGGTTCCCGGTTCAAGGTGTGGAACCGCCCGCTCGTCCACCTGAACCGTACTGGTAATATAATAATAAATATAATATATTTATTTAATTTTTATTTTTTTTAAAAAAGAAAAATCATAAATCCCTAAAATAAACCTAACTCGCTCGACGCTCACAGCCTCACATTGAACCAATAAACACCTTCTTTCGCTTTCACCTCACGCTCACTCTCTCTCGCTCTTCTTGATCGATGCTCACCTCTCCATCTCTGGCTCTCCATCTCCATCTCTGTCTCCGTTTTTCCGTCTCCGTCCTTAGCTAGTGGGATCGGTTCCATAGACCCACCCGAGAACCGGACCGCTAGCGGTTCCCGGTTCCAATTTTTCGGAACCGGTCCTTAGTAATCGGTTCCCAATTCCAATTTTTTGGAACCGATCCTTAGTGGGCAGTTCACAGTTCTAAGGTGGGAACCGCTCACTCGAACCACGCTCACCCTTAGTCCGAAAATCGCCCACCCGGACCATGCTCACCTTTAGTTCCCTCTTATTAGGTTATCAGGTTTCAGGTTCTACCCTGAAACTATGCTCATCCCTAGGTGGCACGCATGCAAAATTGTCGTGATTTTTGGAGGAAGGAGCAAGCTTTATTTTTATTTTATTTATAGGCTTCTAAAATTTCTTTAACATATTTTTAAAAAAAATTAATTGACTCGATTTGACTGTCATAATGCACCACGCCTAAAATATTCCACAGATTATACAAATATACGAAATCGCGTTTTTTTTTAATCCCTTCTTAGCCTTTTAAGAATATTTTTATTTTAACGAGAAGTCGATGAATAACTTTTCAATAGAAAGCCCGAGCAAACAAACCCCATATACAGTTTAGTTAATTATATATATATATATATATATATATATATATATATATATATATATATATATATATATATATATATATATATATATATATATAAGCATAGCTCGAAGTTGAATCTTATTTGATCTCAATAAAAAGAAAAGCAAAAGGAGCATTAGATATCATAAATTACGAAAATTTAAAATTTTTGGGCGGTTCCTCAATAAATCTTCTAATTTTATGGGGTACATATTCTTACATTTGAAATATACATATATATATATATGTAATATTTTACTAAAAATCATCTAGATCCATCTCGAATTAGCGTATAGCGCGAAGAAAGCAGTATCTTATAATAAGAACTTGGCTACTACTTCTTAACTACCTTGTATCTGTCAAGGAACAAAAAGAATAAGAAAGAAAAATATTATAAAACCTGAAGTTTTCTTAGACTTATCCATCATAAAGTTGACTTAGAAAACGAGGCTTTCTTTTAGACAATTCACATGGATAAAGAATACAACCATTTAAAGATAAATATGGATGATCGCAAACGGTAGTCTTGCCACTTGTCCTTCGATTGATTATGTTTTGCAAAGTTAATGCCATATGTACGAGTTTAAAATAATTAAGTCTCCGTTTATTTCGTTAACAATAAATGATTTATAAAATATTTTTAAATTAATGATCGCTAAAAAAAGGCCTTGTCAAATCATGTGAGGTCGCCCTGGCCTGGGCAAGGATGGCCAGCCTTCACTCGGCAAGGTCGCCCTGGCCTAGGCAAGGCTCGGTCTCGCCAAATTTGGCAAGGGGAGCCCTCGCCGAGGCTCACCTTCGCCTAGCTAGGCCTCGCCTGTGGTAGCGACAGGCAACTCTCGCCTAGGTGGCCAGGCTGCCTGGCCATCGCCTGTGACTGATACGCCAGTCAATAGCAAAAGGAGGAAGAAGAAAGGGAAAAAATAAGAAAGAAAAAAATTAAAAAAATTAAAATATTTATTTAAATTTATCTACGTCAACGCCGATCATGCCACGTAGGATGATCGGCTTCCACGTCAGTAAATTCAGGCTAAAATTGGCTCAATTGACTCAATTGGCAAAATGTGAAAAGGTTTATGACTCAATTGGCAAAAGCGTAGTAGATTTAGGATTTTTTGGATAATTTTCCCGAAGAATTTTATATTCTGATATATTTCATGATGGTCATGCTAGCGTTATTAAAGGGTGTGTTTTTTTCGGGAGAAATTCGCAGTATCACGGAATGAAGAAAACACGGTCCATTAATATTCGGAAAAAATAGAGCAATACATTCGACCCCATTTAAGCCCCTTCGAAGAAACTTTTGAGATACGTCGAACAACATGGCATTAGCAAGCTGTGCAACATTGGAGGACTGTCTGATTTCCTGACCATCGTAAAAAAGGGAGAAAGCTCGGCGATCTTGCTCTCTCTGTCCATCGAAATCCAACTAGAAACCATTTCGGTTTGGGCTCGGTTGTTCCAAGTCATTATACTTGTAGCAATTCGCGTTGCGACCGATCACTGCTTCGGTTGCTCGTCGCGCAATTTCGGAGCAGAAACACGAAACAAATCGACCAAAAATAGAACTGCCTTGGACCATAACAAATCCAGAGAAGATTCACCTGATTTGTAGGGAGGAGGACATAAGCGAACACGCCCTCCTCCTCCTCCCCTTTGGAAGTGCCATTACAAAACGATTCCATTGCTCGTTTCCTGGAGAATTTGACCTTCTCCGGCAGGTATTCTCTCTATTTCTCTCTCTGGCAGACGGAAATTTGCTGATGAAAAGTTGCTTTTCTTTTCCTGCTAAATTCGATTAGTATTTGACTCATGAATGATTCACGCATGTTCGTTGTGGTATGGAAATTTATGATGGTTGGTTGCTTATTTGTCTTCCCATTTCCCTTCCTCAAAACTCACCTCAGGAGGGGGTCTTGGAAAGGGTGTTGGGGTTTCTCTCTTCCTCCGAGCCACCGCGACGCCGGTTCGGCCTTGGTGCGCCGTAAATGGACCCATCTCCGCCGCCGGACTCTCCATCCTCGCCAACCCCTCCATCCCCTCCGTCAGATTTGTCGTCGCCTCCGCCGTCGTTGCCGCCGCCGTCGCCGTCATCTCCCCCTCCCACGACATCGAATTCAACCACATCGCCACCACCATCAGCCTTGCCCCCACCGTCAACCTCGCCTCCTCCGGCTTCAACGCCGCCGCCGTCACCACCTTCAGAGGCGAATCCGTCACCGCCATCTCCATCAAGTAATTTGAATCCCCCGCCCTCACCTCCGAAAGGTGTCCCTAGCCCTATTCCGCAACAACCATCGCCGCCACCGCCAAAAACATCAAATACACCGCCATTATCTTCTCCACCGCCTCCTCAGCCAACGAACTCTCCTCCTCTAATTCTGCCTCCAAGCGGCTCCTCTGGTAGCACATTATCACCGCCTCCTCCATTCACTGATGCATCGAATTTTCCACCGCCTCCAAGATCTCTCACGCCACCGTCAAATGGGACATCTCCTCTGTCGCCTCCGACGGGCTCCTCGACAACTAGCGGCTCACCAACATCTCATAGCTCCTCGTCGCTCGCTGTCATGCCTCTCATGATCGGAGTCGCAATAGGAATAGGATTGTTATTGGCCGTGCTCTTGGTGTGGTTTATCTTGTCATGCACTAAGAAGAAGAACAAGAACTCGCAAGCTCAGATGAACCATTACGCTGGCTCAAAAGGTACTTACACGAACTAAACTTAGCTCATACTAAAGGGGAAGGAAACAGTCCTGCATAAATAAAAATGATTTATCTTTGTCGAATAGACTCTAACATTTGCAATCTTTCATTGAAATTACAATTTTATCGTTTGAACTTTACAATGTTGTCTCAATTTCAACCTTCGTTTATTCTAATAGCGAGTTATTGTATTATCAAGTTCATTGATCAAGCTTTTTCTACTTCTTTTTTTTTTGTAGCTGGCAAAAGCTACTTCAACAGCTCTAATAGTTCCTATTCGAGTAGGCGTAACACTCAACAACCTACAGCAGATCATGTCGTTCAAATCCCTCCCCCGCCGAGGGCAATAGTGAATACTCTACCTTCAGGTTGGCCGAAGCTGCCGCCGCTGCCGCCCACGAGCAGCACCGACGTGAACTCGAGCTTGCCGAGTCTGCACGGCCCAGACTCTTCCATCGCGATTGGGTTCAACAAAAGCACCTTCACCTACAATGAATTAGCAACTGCTACAAATGGATTTGCGTTCGATACCATAATCGGCCAAGGGGGTTTCGGGTACGTGCACAAAGGGTTGTTGCCGAACGGACAGGAGGTGGCCGTGAAGTGCTTGAAAGCAGGGAGCGGACAAGGAGATCGGGAGTTTCAGGCGGAGGTCGAGATCATCAGCCGTGTTCATCACCGACACCTGGTGTCACTGGTAGGGTATTGTATCGCCGGAAGCCAGAGAATGCTGGTTTACGAGTTCTTGCCGAACAAAACCCTAGAGCATCACCTTCATGGTATGGTTCTACAATCCCTAGTTTGATGAGAGAGTATCACCTCCATAGACTACTAACAAGCACACCCAATTCACAGGGAAAGATTGTCCGCCCATGGATTGGTCCACGAGGCTTCGAATTGCATTAGGATCTGCAAAAGGGCTCGCTTATTTGCATGAAGATTGTGAGCATCTCCATCTCTCTCTCTCTCTCTCTCTCTCTCTCTCTCTCTCTCTCTCTCTCTCTCTCTCTCTCTCTCTCTCTCTCTCTCTCTCTCTCTCTCTCTCTCTCTCTCTACAATGATAAATTCATCATTCCAACTTAAATCAATAGGTCACCCTCGTATCATCCATCGAGACATCAAAGGTGCGAACATCCTTCTTGATTTCAACTTCGAGGCCAAGGTCGGTAACATGTTTCTCTTCTGGTTTTTTCGGCGCCAAAAGTTGCATCAAAGCCGTCTGAATTTGGTAACTCTGACGATGGATCGTGTAGGTGGCGGACTTTGGACTAGCTAAGCTTACTTCGGACAATTACTCTTACGTCTCAACACGTATCATGGGAACATTCGGGTAAGAAATATGAATACTCGATTTCATGCAATTTGGTTTTTCCTCATTCATTTCATATAGGAGTGAGCAACCGGTCCAATTCAATCCGGAAAACCAAACCGAACCGGTCTTATCCGACTTAATCCGAGCCAGTTCATACATGGACCGAATAGGTTTCTAGGTAAAAAAATAACCAGTTCACAGTGTAAATATTAGGAAACCGACCTTGACCGTTTCAATTCCTGATTTTTCACTGTGAACTGCTTCTGAATCGATTTTTAGATTATTTTTTTTATTTAGAAAAAAAAAGATAGGTACATTGGAGATATGTTTTAAACTAGGAAGCCTAGGAAATCCATCAATGCCTTATTCACTATACCACAGAATGTTCACTATGATATGCTTTCTTAAATTAGCAGTTGACTTACCTAAATTTTAGGCCCGGTTCTGGATTCAACCTTGAAATTGGCTTGGAACCGCCTGGTCCAGTCCACGAAACCAAAAATTGAGAACCGACTCTGATAGGATAGATTCCAGATCAAGAACCTAGAACTCATCCACCCTGAAAACAGTCCCTCATAATTATTGACCAACTAATGATGGTATTGTTTATAATTAGATCGAATCAACGTTGTTATTTTTTTTTTGCAGTTACTTGGCCCCGGAGTATGCGGCGAGCGGCAAACTGACCGACAAGTCCGACGTTTTCTCCTTCGGGGTTATGCTCTTGGAGCTGATAACGGGACGGCGTCCGGTCGACCACACCGGCGAGCTGATGGAGGACAGCCTCGTGGATTGGGTTTGGCTCTTACCTTTCATTCTATTCTAAGGAAATAAATGACCAATAATATCTAAATGACCAATAAATCCAAATGGAAATACATATAGTCGAGAATAATTGCACACTTATTTAATATGATTTCTTTTCTTCTTCTCTTTTTACTTTACTACGAATAAGCCATGCATGCAATTATCATTCTTCAAAATCTTTGCATTTTAGCTGCTTAAATTCGAATTTTCGTTTAAATTCATGTTGTTCTTGGATGAGCAGGCTAGGCCCCGGATCGGGCGTGCCTTGGAAGAGAGCAACTTCAACGAGTTAGCCGACCCACGGCTGGAAGCCAGCTACGTCCACCACGAGATGGCGCGCATGGTGGCGTGCGCCGGTGCGTGTATCCGGCACTCCGCTAGGAGGAGACCGAAAATGAGCCAGGTACATGTTTTTTTGCTTATCGAACTATGGCATCTCTAGGAAAGATTACACAACTCGCACCATATTTCTTATGCACAGTATTAGTTGATTGGTAAATCCCGCTAGCTACCGATATGTATCAATGGATGGACCTGGTGGGTCGGTCCGGATATCGAGTCTAAAATTCCTCGTCTGAGCTTGCTCGTCATTTGAGAAACATTAACTTTATTCATTAAATGAACGGGCTTGGGCCCCGGAGCAAAATCAGTTATTGGCTCAGTTGGTCCTAGGTTAATCTACGAGATCGCTGGATCCATGATCTGGTCTACTAGCATGGATAAAGAGTCAAGAAAGTTGGTACTTTAGTTTTTCAATCTCATGTTATGTTTTCATTTACTCACAATTTTTGCCACGACCTTTACCTGAATGATCCCACACAGCAATTGCTCAAGCCATCAATATAAATCATAGATCATACCACATTATGAAACTCGGTACTAACTAATTGTGAATTGACCAGATTGTTCGAGCCCTAGAAGGGGATGGTTCTTTCGACGACTTAAGCGACTGGCCGAAGTCAAACAGCCAAAGCTCGGCCACCGGCGGATCAAGCGGCACCGATTACGGCTCCGTCTCTTACAGCGAGAACATGAGGCAATTCAAGAAAGTCACGTTTAACAGTCGAGAGTACGTGAGCAGCGAGTACGGTGGCACGAGCGAGTACGGGCTCAACCCTTCTTCGTCGAGCAGCGACTCGGAGGAGACGAGCAAAGGCGGGTCCAGGAGACACAGTCCGTGAAAACATCGTTTCCGATTCGAGAAGATGAATTGACCCGAATCGGATAATAATCGTATAGTTTTTTGTTTCTATTTTTCGTTTTTTTTTCTTGAACTTCCGTTGAACAATTGTTATATGCGTTCGTGATGGAAGAAAAAGTAGGAATATATATTGATGTGGTGTTGCGTTGTGTCAATTGCTTTTTATTCGTAATTGACTTCAATGAAATTAAAATTGCGTACGTTATTGTTGAAGGATCAAATTGATGATGTCAAAAATTAAAATTGCTGTTGAGAGCTTTGCATTTCCTCGGCAATTATATGACATTCAGCCAACAATGTTCAGAAACGAAAAGAAAAAAATGTAAAATCCTCGACATTTTACATTCATTTTAGAGTTTGGAAAAGTCCATCTTATTAGCATTTTATAAAATTTCGATTCTTTCTAATTCTCGTATTCTACATTTCTTCAGCTATCTCAATGTTGTTATAACACAACTGAATTTGCAATGATGAAGAATACTAAATACCAAGCGAGAAAATCACATTTTTTCAACATTTTTCACCGAATTTAAATTCAATTTTAAGTGTGATTATTAATAATTGGTCGAAGGTGACACCACGTGTAAAATTCGCAAAAAATGAAAAAAAAAATGTGTATATATAATTTCAATTAAATAACAAATTTAAGAGCCATGACTTTTTCTAAACCCCGTGCATCGCACGAGCATGTCACTAGTTAAAGAGTAAAGAATAAGAGAACGAACCTAAGATTTATAGTGGTTCGACTTTCCACTCGTTCACTCCACTTTTCCAGTACAATCAACTCAGGGCTATAAACCACTCTAAATCAGAAGATAATATAATTCCTTCAAAACCGAAAAAAAAAACAATCTCATCTCGGTAACAATTAGATGATGGTAAGGATGTGCAAGAGAACCTACGAAATTTGCGGAATCTCCGCGAAACTGACACGGTCAAGTAGAGGAGGAAGACTTGCTTCCAATCTACAATTTCGTAAGGAGACTTTTTACTTCCTTGGTTATGTTCTTAATTTGCAATGTTATTATGGATATAAACATGCATTTTCATACGTAATGTCTTTGACTTTATGCTGATTTTGTTGGTATTAGATAAAATTTGTGGCAATCGTTTACTTGATGTAAGATTTTCTAAAAATTTCCAAGGTAGTATTGTACAATACGAAACTAGGAATTTGTGGTGCCGGCTTTCAGATTTTGTGGTGGTTCAAAGAGCCTCTAAGGTAGTTTCCAAGTTTTAAATTCTTGCCACCAGTATCCACAAATAAGTTTTATGGTAGAGCAAATACCATAACCACCCTGTCATCAGCGCGCTTTGAAGAAAAACTGTTTTTAGGAATATTGTTTTCCGACTTTCCGGTGTTGGGATGATGGAAAACTAATCGATCTATGGAAAACGTTTTCCATGAACTGAAAACAAGAAGCTTAGATTGAGGGGAAACGACTTCTCTTTTGATAAGAAGGAAATCACTTTCCCTAAATCATCAAATACTAATTTTCCCTTAAAATGATGTCCATAAAAAGTATTTTCCTTTTTCATGAAATATTCAATAAAACAAACACACCCTAAAAGTGTCTTTCCTACGATAGAACTTGAGTTAAAGCCTACCCTGATCCGGAGACTCGCGGCAGAGGACCTAGGTTGCTTTTTCTTACTATAGATGTGGTTTAAAACATAGGATGTTGAGTCTCTTCTAATAAGATCTTGATCGGGCGGTATCTCATGCGTCAAATCTAAAGCTCATAACACTAATCTCTGGCGGTAACAAATTCTATCAATTTTACGAGGTTTGATCCGAATATTGGTACCTACTTCGCAAGGAGAGCCGGCCACAAGAAATTCATTATGAATCCGAAGAATACAAAGTTACATAGTTCATATGCTCGATTATTTCTCACACCTAGATTAGACCCAAAGCAAACCCGTAAGTATTATCTCACAATCTCTCACAGATAATTCACTCAAAACCCACAGAAAAGAAATGTAATATTATATATATGTACATATATTCTCAACACCATTTAAGTCTAAGCATGTTAAAATTGCCACGGTAGCACTTTTAATAATTATTCTTGACATGCGGTTAACAGGAGGACTTAATTACATGAATAAAGAAAGCTTGAGAACTCGATTACACAAAAGAAAAGATAAAGGACCATATTTCACGAATGATATAACAATTAAAATTCCGGGTTTAATTTAATATGAACACTATAAATAATAAATATAGCTTCGGGGAAGAGGATGTTTCAAAAGAGAAATTGGGGATAAAAACACTGCAAGTGCTATAATTTTTGTACAGCGGTCACTTGAGTGCCATAACTATTTTTTCGATTATTTGATTGTCATAACTTCTAAAAAAACATTCATTTGAATGTCATAACTTATTAAAAATGTTCTCCCAAGTGCCTAAAATCCAACATGGCATAGCACTTATAGTTACAGTTTTTCAAAAAATTTTGACACTCGAGCGACTTATTTAAAAGTTATATGACACTCAAGTAATCAAAAAAATAGTTATGATACTCAAATAAGCGTTCCACGAAAGTTATGGTACTCAAGTGATCGAAAAAAATATTATGAAGCTCAAGTGAACGCCGAGCGAAAATTATGATATTTATGGTGTCTGTTTCCCAAGATGTGTTATATCCTCTTTTCAAAGTCCAAAAATGAGTTTAGACCGAGACACGGTTTTTTAACTCCGTTCGTGCCCCCACGCTGCCCCCGTTGAAACGGACAAAGAATGTTCATGTCCGGGCATTCGTCGCCCTGTTTTTTTTTTACAAATCCCATTTCCCTCAATCAAACTCAACCTTATTGTCCTCCCTTCGAATTTATAAAAGTTACTTCTGCTTTGACCACCGTGCCATTCAAGTTCTACGTAACTGATGATCACTCATTCGTCTAACCTTTGTTTTACGCATGTTAGTCTAATACAGTCCTTCGAGCCTTCTGAGCATTTTCTTAACGTTATCGTGTTCGTTCCGTGAGACCTACACCTATCGATAGAGATGCGTCTTAATTAGTTATTCGACATGGACGCTTCGAGGGGCGCTCGAGTTCACTCGGCGTGTATCTAGTTCAGACACTTAAGTCTTTGTAGCTACGCCGGTGCGGAAATCATGGAAGCAATGTAAGTTAAGTTCACGGTAGAAAATGCGTGACCAATTTATTAGATAATGTATTTTGACCCAAAGGAAAAGTTAGAATGACTACATTGAGGCTGACTTTGATTCGCTTTGGGGAAAGGCTTTGGGGAAGTGCAAATAACTTTAAGGCTTCGTTCGTTTCGTGAAAAATATTTTCCATAATTTCCGGTGTTCGGGGGGCGGAAATTGAGTGGTCAAAGAAAATATTTTCCGGTCAATGGAAAATATCCTTTGAAAACTGAAGAAGGAAAGGAAGTCATTTTCCAATCTCCCCTCTTCTCACGCGTCCTCTCCTCCTCTCTCTCCTTTTCCCCATCGTTCTCACGCAACCTAGGGTTTTCATCTCCAGAGCAGCTCCTCCTCCGCTGCTGCCTTGCGCTTCGTCTGGTCCTTCTTCGCTGCTGCCTTGCGCGTCCTCTCGTCCCATGGCCGACGAGCTCAAGTGAGGCCGAGCCTAGCCTAGCCTCGCCGAATCCGGCGATGCTCGGCTGAGCTTGAGACCAGCAAGGCGAGGCTGAGCCTTGCTAGACTTGGTAAGGCGAGGTGAGGCCTCGCTCGCGCTCGCCCAAGGCCGGCGAGCTCAAGCGAGGCCGAGCCCAGCCTCGCCTCGCCAGATCCAGCGATACTCAGCGGAGCTTGAGACCAATGAGGCGAGGCCAAGCCTTACCAGATCTGGCGAGGCGAGGCAATGCCTCACTTGGGCTCGCCCAAGGCCGGCGATGCTCGGCCAAGCTCGAGACCGGCGAAGTGAGGCCGAGCCTTGCCAAATCTGGCGAGGCTAGGCTAGCTCGGCCTCGCTCGAGCTGGCCAGCCTTGGGCGAGTGAGGCCTCGCCTTGCCTCGCCAAATCCGGCAATGCTCGACCGAGCTCGAGACTAGCAAGGCTCGGCCTCACCTTGCCAGATCTGGCGATGCGAGGCTCGGCCTTGCTCGCTCGAGGCCAGTCGCCGGCCATGGCAAGCCTCGTCAGCCTTGGGCGAGCGAGGCCGAGCCTCGCCTGTGACTGGTCGCCAGCTATCGTCGTGGCTAGCAACCGGCAGAGGAAGAAAGAAAGGGAAATAAAAAAGAGAAAAAAGAAAAGAAATATTAAAATACAAAATAAAAAATTATTAAAAATAGTGCATGAAGGAAAATATTTTCAATGGTGGAAAATATTTTCCAAGACTTTTTAGATTTTAGCCGAACACCGAAAAATTGTGTCATTTTTTAGGAAAATGGCTTCCCAGAAAACATTTTTCAGAAACGTAACATTTTCCGCGAAACAAAAGGAGCCTAAGTTAAAGGGGTTTTTCGAAATGCAACTTGCGTTTGGTTAAAAAAAAATTTGTAGAGCAACTTTGGGTTAAATTGTGTATGGAAAAATTCTTCTTGCAAAGGACTTTAGCTGCGTTTTTTTCTATTTTTTGTTTAAAAAAAACCTAAATATTTCGCCGGCTTTGGCGAAGGGAGGAAGCCACCGGTGAGCCAGATTTGGCGCCGGCAACCATTGTTTGAAGTCGCACGACCTCAGGCAACCCTCACCGGGGTCACATGACCCTCACTAGGGGTGGTGAGGGCTGCCTGGGGTTGCACAACCCTGAGCTATGGTCACCTAGGTCGCGCTACCTCCCTAGCACCAGACCTTTTCAGCTAGATTTGACCTCATCGGCCGCCCTTGTCCAAAGAAGATGAATAGTACAATGAGGGCAAAACCAAAAAAAAATTGGCGAGGGTAGTTTTGAAAGGAAAAAAAATTATTTAACCCTAGGAATAACCTTTTGCAAATGCTGAAAGCCCAAGGCATGTCCTAAATCAATCCAAAATGAGTTAGAGGAAGAAGCAGAAAATCAGGAGAATAGGCTCCGTTTTTTTCGCGAAAAATGAACGGTCTAGAAAATATTTTCCTAAAAATGACTAATCGTATAGTTTGCAATAATTAGTCACTGACAATAATTTATATCGAAACATTTTCGTGGATGATGAAAAAAATTTCGTACTTTCATTTTTACAAGCGATACATCTAATCATTTTTAGGAAAATATTTTCCAAATCGTTCATCTTTCAGCGAAATAA